CAGTCAAATGAGTAAGATTGTGGTGCTGGTCCGTGGTGTTGGCGAATTTATTTGTGGTGACCATTTGTGACCAAATATATGTGTACTGTGACTGATTGTGACCAATTTTGTGTTAATTGTGACCGATTGTGACTTGATCATATTCAAGTCACAATCGGTCACAATTATCACAAAATTGGTCACAGACAGTCGCATTGAACACTAATTTGGTCACAATTAGTCACTGATGACACGTGTTAGCGACTTGAATAAATAAAGTGACTTGAAATTTTTCCGATAATTTTTTTAGGAGGTGGAGGCATGGGTGGGGTGGTGGTAGGTGGATCTATGGGTTGGGGGTGTGATTTCCAATTTTTAATTTTTTGGAAATCTTGAAATCCTCAAAGCGGCCGCTGAAATAGTCGTCGGAGTGGACATCGAAGTGATCGCCGAAACAGTCGTCGAAGCAGTCGCCGAATCGAAGTCGGAGCTGTGCCGGAGATGGAGGGAAGGTGGTATAATGGGGTGATAGGGTGGGTGAGGTGTCATGAGGTGTAAATAATTAATATATATTATATTATAATTTAATATTTAATAAATCTATTTACCACTTAATTTTTGAAATAATAAAACAAATTTGTTAGTTTTGAAAAGTAGTTCTTATATGTAGGTTTTGTGTATTGTTCCCATACTTTATTTTGAAAATNTTAATAAATCTATTTACCACCTGATTTTTGAAATAATTAGACAAATTTGTTAGTTTTGAAAAGTAATTCTTACACATAGGTTTTGTGTATTGTTCCCATCAAATATCCGTTGGATTATTGGATCAAATCGGATAATTTTCTTATCGGATCGGATATAAGCAGATCTGATCCATTTACAGCCCTACCTATTCCAATGAGTAGGAGGCTTGGAGCTGTTATACGTAAATAATGATGCTTTTTAATACCAGTTATATGGCATTATGTGATATATTCAATTAAAGCTGAAATTATGTAATTCATTGGATAACGCCGCTAGTGCCGTCACCTAGATTGATATTAAACACCACGTTTCCATCCTACGTTACGTGCTTTCTGGTAAATTTGGATGGATTGATTGTATCTCTCGTTTATTTCCCATGATATACGTTGATACATTATGAAATAAATGTTATTCGTTGGCGCTCAAGGAAAAAGCTGGATCAGACACCCTAGCCCATTATCCGTATACATAATTCCTGTAGAGTTCATCTTACAAAACCAGCGACAATAGCGCTGGCCTTCCAGCCAGGGTCTTAGTGATATAATGATCATCAAAAGGCCAACGAACAAATCCAGTAACATTCAGAATAAATTCCAACTGTATTTTATTTAAGCGGAACGATTAACAAGTATCCTCTGCCAGTAATATACAGACACAAGTCCAACCACAAGACTGCATTACAGACAACAAAGATACTAAGATCAGGGAGTTCCAAAAACAACGTTAATAAGCTCCAGTTGATGATGCACATGCCTAATCATGGATCTTCACAACGGTAACAGGGCAAGTAGCATTGTTGACTACATAGGTACTCACACTGCCCATAATAACCCTGCAAAAATAAATGAAATAAACCGAATATCTATTAGTTTTAAAGATGACGACTCGAATTAAAAACATAAGATATGAAATTTTAATGAATACCGATCTTTGACAAGGTTGGACACAAATGGTGAAGTGGATAAAAGTTCCATACAAAAGGCTCGAAACAGAGACAATTTTGGCTTTTTTATGCCATATTGAACAGCAGTAGACAAAATAAAGAAATTAAGAGAACTTAAAAAAAAAAAAGTTCTGTCGTCCTGTGCAAACATTCACTTATAATTTATGCTAGTATTTACACGAATAAAGGGGCCTTTACTTGATCGATCAATAGGCATACACAATCCTTACGGCTTTTATTAACTACAAAGATTCAATAAAATCCGTAGATCTATTTAAAAGGAGAAAAGTAATCTCTCTAAGATCACACTGTCTCAACATATGAATCAAAGAAATGACTCCTAAAAGACTTCAAAGCAAGCGAACCTCTTTATTTTGCCAAGGCCTCTGTTTCCAATAACAAGGCAGTCGAGGGGAATATTATCAATAGATTCACATATCTTCTCTCGAGCATCTCCCCAATAAATTTTCAGGAGCACTGTTATCTGCATCCTTAAAATCTGTAAGTATTGCAATTCGTAAAAGGGGAACGACATGTTTGATAAGGTAGATTGCACAACATCGAATTGTATTAAGAATGCGAAAGAAGCTAAAATCTTGTTTATTGTATTGTCCACATCTGCTAGTTTTGACATGACGACCGTAAACATCAAAGTTACCTCTTTCTGCCTAGATGCAGTAGCAACAATGTCCAGTGTTTCAGGGTCGGGATTAACCCCATATTTCTTCATGATATGGGGCTGCGAGAACTCGATCAAAGGAATCAAAGCTAATAAAATCACAAAAACAAATACATCGGTTAACGACCACACAAATAAACAAGACTATACATCTAAGTTATGATATACTTCACTGATGTAAACAATGATTGCAACACATCCACTTCTTTTTTCCATAAGACACTCATTTTATCCAAACTCAATAAATTAATTTATAATATTTAATGCCCCTTGAATACTAAAATCTAGATTAAGAATCAAGAAAATAAGAACAATTTAGCTAAAGAAAAAGGGAAACAAATTTTGTGCCCAAAAAAGAAAAAAAAAGTAAATGTTGGCGGAAACACCAAGAAATCTTCAATCGGGCTCAGGAAAAGGAACACAAACCGAGGCTTGCTCGATCCACAACATTGCACTTGGTTGCCTCACACTTTCACCTCCACAAAGGAGAACTATGGTGATTGGTTTGCACCCACAAAGGAAGAGTAGAATAGAGATGGAAATTGGAACTTGAAGAAGAAGAACCAAAGCCAGCCAAAACCTCACATTTATTGTTGTAGAAGCTTGCTCCAAGATATTCAATTCGGTGATTTCCGGGGGCTCAGTTTCACGCTACCAATCTCAATCAACAACCAATCCAAATGGCTTAACCACAACCAATCACTTAGGTTGCTACTTATTCTCTCACCCGCAAAGGACAAGAATATGGTTGTTTGTAGACACAAAGGAGAAAAAACAATGGTAGAACAATGTTAAGACTCAAAACACGAAGGGGAAAATAACATGAGCAGCCACGGTTTCTTTCTTGCAAAGCACACGTTTCTCTCTTTTTGCACAAATCACACACGTCTACATCAATAAAAAATGAGGCAATATATAGTAGTAGGTTAGGTAACTAACTTGGTACATGGGCCCA